CATTTCAATGGACTAAGTCTAAATTAACTCAATCGACATAGAGATAGTTAATTTAGAACAAGGAATCAGGTTGACTGCCTTCAGGATAAGGAGTTAGATGAAATAGACTGCCATCATAGAAATCAGGAAAAATCGAAGTAATACAATGTAACTTCAGCATTTAGTAGGTTTTCGTTTAGCCAGAAGCTACCTTATGTGCTGGGGGAGTGTCAGGAGCAGCATGTGAGTTAATCAGGAAGAGGAAAGAACAAGAGAAAAGGTGAGCCAGCGGCTCAGCTGGCATATAGAATACATTTATATTTATTAGAGAAAGCGATAGACAGCACTCAGAACTCAAGCATTAGATCAAGACAAACTGATAATCAAAACTAGAAGTTTTTGGAGTATAAGGTTTCGTACGAGTTACAACAACTGAATTGATGCAGTTGTACACAAAAATAAGCATTAATCTAGTTTTTGATTAAAAAAAATTGAGAATGTCAGACAAAACTTTATGGTTAATTTATATTTATAGCAATATAAAACGTTACTATAATTTGCTAAGTGTGTCTAAAAGAATTTTCACTCACGTATGCACAATACATATGAATACTTTAGAATAACAACAGACTATTCGAAATCAACAGGGAATGTGAATAAATTTATTTAGTAAGTCAAATCATTTATTGTATATTGCTTATCGATTTGATTACATACGCAAGTGTACACAGTATGAGGATAAGTGTTATACAAACCAAACAAAAATGGTTTACATGGCTGAACGATTATCATGGGTTTATTTTCAAGCGTCCGTAAGTACACAAAATAGGGTTACACGTGAATTTATTTGAATTAACTGACGATTTACCTTATTGGTATTCCTAACTTGTAATTTTTCTGACGCATTAAATATAGTTAAACCAATTTTAAAGTTACACATAATGCCAGTAATTACTTACTTAAGCCAGTTACTCCCAATGGAGCTTAGGCCGCCGACCAGCATTCTCTAACCTACTCTGTCATGGGCCTTCATTTCCAGTTCTATCTGATTGTTGCTCATTCTCCTTATGTGTGTCTCCATTTCCACCAAAGTTTTTCAAATATGCACCATAATTCACTTCAGTAATCATCATTTTCACTAATTCATCTTTTTATTCTCATTGGGGAGTATATCTAATGAATTTTGATAAAGTATGATATATTTAGACTTAATGCGACACTCCTTTCCTTAGTCTAGCAAAATCATATTAGACTTGTATACAATTTAGGTTAAAAAAGAAAGTGGATATTCATCTCAAGAGTATAACACTCACTTACTAGATAGAACTTTTCTGCTTAGTTTTAAGCCGAAAAGTTTGAATTTAACAATGCAACTAAGATTTGTCAATCTTTTATTAGAAAAATTATTCTGACAGACAGTACACATTCACTTTACAAGCACGTATTAATTAGTTTGTTAACATTATACTACTCATAAGTAGGTCAATTAATATTAATAAAGATAACACATTGACATTACCAAACCAACTTCGATAAAATAACAAATAGTGATTTGTTTCATAATTTATTTTCATAACAGAAGATTTACAAGAAAGCGAAATATTTCAAATTCACTGGAAACCAATTTACAAGGAAAAGTCATTAGTAAGTAAATGCATGGGTGCATATACATACATATATATGTACATACATTTTTCCACATGGATGGAAATATTATATCATCAGTGAATCATGTCTAATTTACGTAATCGAAACTACGAAGAATTAGATTATACAATTAATTTGTAGCATTTATTCGAATAACATTAGTGAACTGGTTACATATATATATTGAGGAATGTGTATGTTTTGTGTGTGTGCGTGTGTTGAATATTGAAAGTTGAATACACTCAGTATAAGTAAGAAATTCAATGAATAGTAGTAGTCAACAGGAGAAATATTTGATCATTGGGCACAAAGATGATGTATCAACAAGTTTGTTATTGATAAATAGTAATAAGGGATTTTAAAATGTTTTCTTGTTTGAAATAGAATATAGATATGTGTGAAAAAGTTGTTAAATAATTTTCTTATTTTCCAATCAAAATTTACTAATTAAATCAACTCATTTATAAAAGTTATCATCTCATATTATTAGTTTAGCTGAATAAAAAGTTCTATTCCATGGGTGTTGTTAACATGATTGATAAAAAATTAGATAACTTTTATTAAATTTAATCTAAATTTTGTGGCATTAATGTTCGCCTTACGGGATTGTGAAGATTGGTAAGTTACACATTTTTTGAAACCAGGAATCGATCAATGTTAGACCACCATTAGGAACCTCAAAGCACAGGATGGCCGTTTCGTCCTGGTATGGGACTCCTCAGTGGCAGTGCGCATCCACGACTCCTGCACCTCGAAGGTTTCGAACATATAGCCTTCGGTATTGTAGGCGAATGCCTTACCATCAGACCACTGAGCCGTTACCAAGTGGTGTTAATGTGTAACTTGATCAGTTCACGGAGTTGCGCAACCTCATACACAGTTGAACTTCACTGGTCACGTCTTCCCACTAGAACTCAGAGAAGAGTCCTGATGAAGCTAGTCACTAGTGAGCACAGGTAATTTGCATTACGGGGTTGTGAAGATTGTTCGCCTACAATACCGAAGGTCCTGGGTTCGAATCCTGCGAGGTGCAGGAGACGTGGATGCGCACTGCTGAGGAGTCCCATACCAGGATGAAACGGCCACCCAGTGATTCCAGGTTCCGGATGGTGGTCTAGCATTAATGTTCTTCAAGTGAAAGTATCTTGTAAATATAGTTTGTAGCTTGAGCAAACAACAACTGGTGAGTTGTTCACAAAAAAAAAGAAGGATTGTTTGGTTCGTGCTCTCCAATTTATTAAGAACTTTGTACAAAAATGTAGTCAGAAATGACAAAATATAAAAATTGAAGATATGCCGTCTTTCTTGCCAGAGAGTAAGTAATAAGCTGTTCAGTCAGTAAGTTTGAAGTTAACGATATAAGTTTTCTAACATCAGTTCTACATAGACAAAGAGGCGAAAGGTGACACCTTATGATATTTTCAGGGTTAGAGATTATAGAATCGTGAGTGTAATATCCAAGAAAAGATTTTCACAGATATACAAGTGCTTTCACTAAGTGGGAAGATTTTAGGTGGTCGGAACAGAGTCGTCATGAATTATCAGGTAGGGACTCATCAACTTAGAAGAGAATGACGCCATTTATGGGACCTTGATCCCATTCCATCCAACTTCATAACCAGACACACTACCAATGGGAAATTCATCGGTTGCCATCATGTTACATTTCAGCATGGCGCACTCGATATTTAGTCAATAAATTAACTGTAGATATGACAAATGCTTGTGGAAACATTCTGAAATATCTCAGTGTAAATTAGTACTATAAAGTTACAAATTTTAACTCTTGAATTATTCTATTAAACTATTGAGTGTTTGAATATTTTAAACCATAATACATTCACTTCGTTAAATGTACTCAAATTCACCAATAAAATCTACATTTTAAATCTGTTTGGAAAGCCTAGTGTAGAAGTTAACTTCAGATACGTAGGATAATAACTACGAATGAGTTATACAACTCCATCTTTCAAGATTGCCACTATTAATAAAGGCGAAATGTCTAATAGTAGAAAGTGTTCTGTTTTATTTTGAATTAGCCATTCCAGTGTACATGTTTGCATATAAACTTGAACTAGGGCCAACTCGTTACCCTCAGATGTATTGAGTTCAGATAGCTGTTAGGCAATGCAATGAGTTTGTAATTTAATTTGAAAACGGTTGTTTTTCTTACCATGGTCAATGTAAAGAGAAGTGAACATCAGATTGTCGCTATTGATATGGAGTTTCATAGTTAAATAATCTAAGCGGGAAAAGTGTTATATCAATAAAACTATTCTTTTTTTCATACTGTTATGCTTAAAGTAAAGAATTAATGAAAATTCAGAAAATGTTGGATAACTGCTTAATTCTAATTTACAACTGTTTTTCAATACGGTCTTGTAAAGCGTTATTACATCAAATCCAGAATTTTCTCCACCATCTCAAAATCATATGAGCGTCATACGCTTCTCGTTGTTCGAAAATGGGAGAATTTCGCCATAAGGCAGGCTTCCACTCGAAACAACTGTTTTTTCTCCACGAATGTCTTCGTCAGCATGTTCTGCTAACAAGTGTCAGATATAGACCACCAATCAACTGCCCAATGGGATGGCAAATAGCGGATCAAAGTGGGAGACATATGGTACAATTAATGATCACCGATGCACACTACAGGATCCAAAAATACCAGCACAACATAGATGAAGAAAAAAGAAAACTAGAAAGAATACTTACATCAGAACACTTAACAACGGTGACAACGGCTATCGAACTGTCAAGTAGACGACACAGAGAACAAAGAAGAAGCATCCTCAAAGATAAACTAATCAAGATTTCAAAGCCACCCACAGAAGAAAACGAAAACAGTTGTGTGGTCAACCTATCGAAGCAACATCTAACGACAACAGAAGAACAACTGATCCAAAAAGGATTAAACTATAACACGAAGGGCACTTCAAAACTAGACTTCTTCGCGGCATTAAAGTCATCACTCAAAACGGCAGGAATAAGTGAAGAAACTCAACAAGAAATAAGCCAAACCATAGTACCACTAACTCGATGGAAGAGAGACAACAACCAACTAACAGCACAACAACGAAAAGCTCTAAAGAAACTCATAACCAGGGAAGATATAATCATAGTTCCAGCGGACAAAGGACGTACGACAGTAATCATGGACAAGGAGGAATATATCAAGAAAGCCGAGGATCTACTTCAGGACAGAAGCGTGTATAAACCAGTCGACACAAACCCTATGAAAAAGTTGAAAAATCTGTCCAATATATTTTACATAAAATTGGTCATTTAATTGAACAATTGAACATTGAAAATTCATCAGCTAAGATAAATGGTATAGAGAATGTATATAAGATTATTTAAAGATAAAATATGTATATCTTTAATGGATATACAATACAATATAGATAAGCTTTTAAAGTCTGATTTATTATTTTTTTTCTTAAATTTGTAATAAATCAAATTACTTAGTAAATGTGATTTGTGATGAACTTTTTACTTACTTACTTACTTACATATACACCACCAGTATATAACACAGATTGTTTACTGTTAATTCTTGTCACAAAACAAAACAGCTAGTCACATATTCATTGAGTTACGTCAAAAGAAAACTAATATATCTAGTAGTTGAACTATTAAAAAATAGAAAACTGTTTTTAAATGTAAATAACAGCAATTTGTTTTGTTTAAATATAACATGAATAATGAATATTGTACAATGATTGTGCATGATGTGTGTATATTGTTTAAATGTAGGCTAAAAATAAGCAGTGAACTGTATCTATCATCTCAGTTTCACAGGTGTACAAGTAAAAGTAACCATCGAAATGTATTAGCGAAATACATTTTTAATTGTATAAATTTTTGCACGCTTGTCCAATAATTATACAAACTGTAATCATGAAATCTATATTTTATAAGATTTGTAGCATATTAATATTCAGTCTTGAAAATACACTTTTGATTGTAATGGCATACTTGCTTCATTTCTGTCCTCATTGTGATAGGGAGTGAAGTAGTCGAGCGTGTTGATCGCTTCACTTATCTGGGTAGTCTCATCAGCGCTGATAGCCTGGTGATTTACGAAATTTCAGCTCGGGTACAGAAGGCTCGATTGGATTTTGCCAACCTGATTCACCTTCGGGATATCCGTTTGCTGACTAAAGGACGAGTGTACTGCGCAGCAGTTCTCTCCGTTCTCCTATATGGATGCGAAACATGGCCGTTAAGAGTAGAAGATGTTCGTAGGTTACTAATATTCGATCATAGATGTTTGAGAAGCATTGCTCGTATATCATGGAACAACCGAGTAAGCAATGCTGTCGTTAGGAAACGGGTGCTAGGTAAGAATGGCAGATCAATAGATGAAGTGGTGAAACTTCATCTTTTGAGGTGGTTGGGACATGTGTTACGTATGCCTAACCACCGACTGCCTCGACGAGCTATGTTTTGTGGTGTAGGAGTAGGTTGGAAGAAAGTTAGGGGCGGCCAGACCAAAACATGGCAGAAATCCATGAAGTCATTGACGAGTGGACTTAGCCATGTTGGTAGTTGTCGACTACCTGGTTGGGGTCCGCGAAATGATAATAATCGATGGTTAGAGACCTTGAATGACATGGCTCAAAATCGTTTGCAATGGCGCAAATGCATCCATTCGTTGAGCTCTTTCAAATCCTAATCTTCTGCATTCATCAGCGCCTCTAACCTTGTCTTTCTAACCTTTTCTCACTGAATTATACTTCTTGAATATCTTCAAACCCTAGTCTTCTTCATTACCATTAATACCTCTACTATCTTTATCACTATGGGATTTGATTTGACATTCGCGTCTCTGTGCTAATGTGGTATAGCAACATGAACTGATGTACATACGTACGAAGTTCTACGTTGCAACTGACTGACTGACTCTGTCCTTATAGTTCAGAGGAGTATACTTGCAAGTTTTCAGGTATTAGACTGCTGAATTGCATTCTGGCTTAAAATATCGTATAGATTTTATATGTTTCATTGTCTTGATAACTAAAACTCCGTTATAGTTCAGTCAGATCATATCAGATGTCTTTCTAGTAGAAATTGCATCCTTTATTAATCAACATGCTGTTAAACATTTTAAACAAACTAGAACTTTTTTTTTATCATAATGAATCCTGAAAATATCTTGCTAAACACTAGATGAAGAAGGAGCAACATATTAAATTCAGACTCTCAGTGTTTTATTTGGTTACGTGACTTTTTAAGCCAAACTAACTCATATCCTGGTTGTCTAGTGATTAAAATTATAGACTCGATTACATCCTAATTAGTTCGTCGCTTACATCCCTATTAGAAAAGAGGAAGCAGTGAAACTGTTTTGTTTTTTACCTTAGTTTATGACTCCTCAGAGTTTTTAATCCATTATTTAACCTGAGATCGAACCCAGGTTCTTCAAGCTTTCATGCTGAGCTTTCAACTTGAAAACCTCTGAGTGTGCATTCGGTGGACTACATAGAAAATCTAACTGAAACCTGTTTATTATACTATACAGTCATCTTTCAATACTACTAATGTGTACCTGCCTCGTACAAGGCAAGGTTTAGTACTTTTTGGAAGACAAAGTAGTCGCTAATCTTTACCCGATCCCTGATTGTAATAAAGAATGTTCGCTAAACTACGATGAAGTTTTACTTATCTATTGAAGTGAATAAAATCATAAACTCCTACAGCTAATTATAATGGTATATTTTCTAGAAAACTGGACTTGGAAATGAAACTAGCAATCCATTGAAAATTACGAAGGATTGCTTAAGTCACCTCATCGACTTTATCATATCGAATTACGAAAATTTATGAAATATGTTTATCATACTTTTTTTTAATTATGACTGCCACTTATCAGTTCAGTGAAAGCATTTCATACATAAACTAGTGAACACTTTCACAGTCTTATCGTTTGTTGTATTCTAGAGAAATAGTTGATTTATTTTACATATATATATATATATATATATATATATATATATATATATATATATATATATATATATAACAATAAATGTTTTATTTACGTCTTTTTCCTTTCGAATGTGATTTATTACAAATAGATAAATATGCTTTTAAGTGTTTTACTGCTTTCTCTCTCTTACTCTCTCTCTCTCTCTCTCTCTCTCTCTCTCTCTCTACCATAATCAGTTAGTGTGCTGTTTGCCGAACTTTTACACTTTGCTGCATAGCTTAATCATTTGTGTTTAAATATACTATTTAATTTCAACATTCATCATTCCATTCCATTCTATAATTCAAAGCAAATGACTCTTCCAATCACAAACATGAATATCAATACCATTTGATTTCAACCAATCAGAATGAAGAAACAATGATTCATTTGCTTTTTTTTGATGTATTCAAACACCCAATAAAAAATTTACAAGTTCTTTCGTTAAGTGTTTATGAAGCATTAATTAACACGATAAAACATAATATTTTTGATGATTATTCTTCTATTAAAATGTACATACTATTGTTGTTGTAATAAACTAAATTTTGTTTTGAATAAAAAAAAGTTTTTCTTTTTTTAAAAAAAAATTTATACGCAAAAACAACAAAAAAAATGAATGAGCAAACAATTCTAGTCATTATATCATTTTGTATTAGCAATTTCATGCTAATTGTACAAAGTATGAATGATGCACCATTACGTGTAGATATTATTGAAGAAAGTCCAACTGGAAGTATCATACCTGGAGTAGCTGAATATTTACAACAATTATTAACTCGTCAAGGTTTAACGTCAACAACAACAACAACTTTTCAGTTGATCAATGATGGCACATTTTCAAATTTATTCAATTTAGATCCAAACACAGGTCGATTAATTATCGGTGGACGGATTGATAGAGAAGCTTTATGCCCATTATGGGATAATAGTGTAAGTGCTAGTACACAACGAAATCCCAGTCTAATAGATGGTAATGAGTTTGTCAATTCTTCACCGAATGAATGTATAAAAACTTTAAACATCCTGATTATTTCTCGATCAAATCAACAACATTCAACTATTGGAGTTGTTGAAAAACATGTTGAGATACCACCGAAAACAACAAGGATATTAATTCACGTAGTCATACACGATATTAATGATAACGCACCTAGATGGAATGAAAACAGTGTACTACATGTGAGTTTTGTCGAAACACCTTCATCACCAAATACCAATGGATGGAATACAGTTCAGACAATTCTACGACCTGTTCAAGAAAATGACGCTATTCGACATGCTAAATCCATTGATCGTGCTTATGATCCAGATATGGGTCAGAATGGAACAATCGTTTATCGATTAATTGGACCAGGTGCAGATTATTTTCGATTAGCAGATAATCTTAACAAGAAACCAACTAATGACAACAATGATCAATATCATATTCAGTCAAATACGGATTTATTGAGTCATCGAAAAACCGATCTAACCATGGATTTATATAACATCAACAACAATAATAATGGAAATCTGAATCCCATCATCTCCAGTACACATGAAACACCTATACAAATTTGGCCTATTCTACCATTAGATAGGGAGACAAAAGATTTCGCTGGACAAGGTGGTATTTACAATCTAACCTTGTTAGCAAGTGATCTAGGCAATCCACCGAAAAGTACAAGTATACCACTTTTAATCACGCTGATTGATGTCAATGATCATATACCACAATTTCATAATCCAGCTAATCAGTATGAAGTGAATCATAATTTAAATTTACACAGTAATCAGAATAACAATCCTCTTGAATCGAATTACGTCATCTATCGACCGTTGAATGGGAATTTACGTGAAACATTACCAATTGGTAGTTTTGTGTTACAATTAAATGCATCCGATCAAGATGATGGCTTACATTCAAAACTAGTCTATGGATTTTGTCCATGTGATCGAAATGTAGCACAGAATTATTTTAAAATTGATTCTATCACAGGACGTATTACTGTTAGTCATTTATTGGATTATGATAATGGACCAAGACAATTTCGATTTAAAGTAAGTTCTATGTTTAGCTTCATGTTAACAATATTTATACTGTGAATAAGACTACAAAAAATTACTTACTTACTTACTTACTTACTTACTTCTGCACTTACTTACTTACTTACTTACTTACTTACTTACTTACTTACTTACTTACTTACTTACTTATACACTTACTTACTTACTTCTGCACTTACTTACTTACTTACTTACTTACTTACTTATGCACTTACTTACTTACTTACTTACTTACTTACTTACTTACTTACTTACTTACTTACTTACTTACTTACTTACTTACTTACTTACTTACTTACTTACTTACTTACTTACTTACTTACTTATACACTTACTTACTTACGCCTGTGACCCCCAATTGAGTATATGCCGCCGACCAGCAATCTCCAGCCAACTCTGTCTTGTATCAGTGAAGCTTGTTTTGAAGCCGAATACATAATTCTACATAAATTACAAATGAAACTTAGGGTAATACTAAGAGTCAAATATATATTTCGGCGATTAAGCACTCAGTTTTCAGCACTCAGCTTTCAGTTATTAGGTTGAATAGTGTACGGGAGGCTGTAAGGAGCCACTGGCTTTTGATTAAATGTTATGATTTAAAGTTGAATAAATAACCTTGTTGGAGATTTGTTGCGTTTGATTTATAAATCATGAACCAAACTAAGTTAGAAGACTATTGAGAACGTAGAAGTAGTATCAGACAGACATTTTTCCATAGTTTGCGACTCCGCATTCGAGAACTGAACCTAGAATCTTCATTATCATATGTGAACGCCTAGTATCTGCAGCGCTGAACCAAAATCTATGAGTGTACAATTATCGCCACAATCAATCTACGACTGTCTCCGATCGGTACTCTCTTCATACCCCGTTGAATTTCCACTGGTCACAACGTCCTACTAGAATTCCAAAAATTCTTTCTCGTAGATACTCACGACTTAGTGGTCTGGGGGTTTGGGGTTTCCAAACAAGACGGACGATCATGGATAAGATCCCTAGTTGCCGGGTGGTGAGTACTCACTGTTGAGGTGCCCCGTGCTTAAACGAAATAGCCACTCAGTAATTCTAGGTCATTTGACTATGACTGGTTCATGATTTCAGTTTGATTTTACAACAGTTCATTAACTCGTTCATTTTATTTCAGACTATAACTTAATCCTACTTTAGGAATGAATATCACATTACACATTTTGATTCACGTCTGAATACTATTTCAAATAAGCTGATTAAGTTTTTGTTCTATGTTCAACAATTTGTGGTTGTCTATATTTGCTACATTTGACTCGTAGTAGTAGAATCTATGTGGGGGGACATATGAAATGAATGTAGTTTTTAACTATGTGTTGCTGACTTACTGAAACAGATGATTTGAATTTTAAATTTTAACAACACAAACAAATTGTTCAACTAGATCAAAAAAACCGTATAAGTTTGTTTTGAATAATTTTTGTTATTTTATCAATAACATAGACAAATGCGATACATTCCATTGACAATTGAATAAGGTTCATTTTTCAATGTGAATATCAAGTGTTTTTAGGACATTTTTTCATTGGTTTAGTGTATGACGCGTATTAAGGTATCATTTTTGTTGAGGATTTCAATTTGACGTTTGAACACGTATTGTGTTTGATTTTTTCAATTTGGTAATTGTAAAGAAATCTCTCATGAAAAGTATACACTTACACCGGTATTCTAAATGTTCAGGAAAAATGTTAGAAAATTTTATATGGTACATTTTCATTAACAATCGTGAAACGAACTGATAAACTTAAGTGTGATATACAATATTTTACACTTTTTCTTAGATACCTGCTACATGTTCACCTTATCACACTGTAGCATAAACCATTGACTAAAATTATGAATGTGAGCAAGAAATGATTTTAAATCGTCTAACTGAATGGTCGGTCTATGCTGGTTGTGACATTTTCAAAAACCATGTACAGTGGTTGATAGCACCATGTTAAGGCGTTCCAAACTAGGATGAAATAACGTCAGTCTGTAACCTGTAGCTATTTCTATTTGCATATGTGTTTATATGATTTAGCCTTAATTTTGGATAGATAACTGATTCCTTTCTTTCAAGTCGTTTTGTCATTTGCTTGTGTGACCTTGAGCATAGATTTAATCGTACGTACATATGTGCTTATTTGTGTGTCGTTCATTATCCACAAATATTCCGTTGTGTTTTAATTAAATTAAGTACATTGGTACATTGGTCTATTTTATATTTCTCATCTTAACGTCTGTTTAAAAAGACATGTAAAAAAATTCAATCAATTTAATTTATATTTGCCTTTTTATGACTGCCGGTCACCCTAAAGTCTGAGGAGAATATATAAAGTCGAAAGAATAATTTATGCTCATCATTTTTACCGCCTTTTTTTCATCATAAAGCTAGGTCGTGAGAGACTAACTGTCTCCCGCTCTCTGAGAAGTAATAATAACGAAAATTTATATATTAGTGTTTTGAATAGTACTTAATTACTTACTTACTTACTGTTTTCCCCCAATGGAGCACAGGCCTACTCAGTCGTGGGCTTCACTTTACAGTTCTGTCCAACTGTTGTTCATTCTTCTCATGTCTGTCTCCATTTCTCAGCTTAATATGTTCCTTGGTCTTCCTCTTTTCATTTGACCTTGAGGGTTCTGAGTCAGAGCTTATCTTGTGACGCAGTTGTATGCTTTCCTCAATGTATGTCCTATACACTTCCAGCGTTTCTACCTGATTTCCTCACCAACCAACTGGAATCTGGTGCTTTGAATAGTGGTTCTTTAAAAGGCGGGTAAATGGCCTAATTATTTAAGTTCTAATGTATATTTTCCTAGTTTGGATTGATCTTTATGAGATTGAGTGAAAAACAACGATATCAACTAATATTAGACCCAATGTACAAATATATAATTATTATTTCGTTTCAATATGACAAAATACATAGAAAATTTGTAGTAAAATATAAATACTCGTGAAATGGACAACAATGATGGTTTAAATGAATGATCAAGTTTTAACTAGCCAAAATTGAATGCATATTTATGAATGAATAACAGTATGTTCTTTAAAACGCTTGTTATTAATCTTACAGTCGAATGTTATCTTATATCTTTTGAATATGTTCATCCGACTTCAGCTCAAAACACCAGATAATCATTTAAGGCATACACTACACTGAGTCGCAAAACTCAGTCCATGAAGTCATTGAATGTTAGTCCTACTGTAGTGAAGGAGAACACAGGTGAGGGCAACCGAATTGTATTTAACGAAAATTACAGAGTTACTCAGTAAAATAGGAAAAGCATATCGTAACCGTTAATTTGCAAATCTTCAATCAGTCATCAATCCATTGTCTGACATTTCACTATTCATGCGTTTCATACAAATTCCATTGTGTTCCCACTCTTCCTTTCTTGATCATCACCCATCTTCTGCTGCCAGACATTACGTTTACACTCGCGTCATATACTACTTATAAGTAGCGCGCACCACACTACCTCTATTGGCAGATGTTAACTACGACCGACTAATTACTGAATAATGACCGTAGTTATGTTTACCCGGTCCTTTGGTGGTTACCAAATAAGATTAATCATATTGTAGTGTGAAAATGAATCCAAGTGACTCAATACTAAGTGGACTATGCTAAATTATCAGATGATTGGAAGTAGTTGATAAGAAACTCTGAAAGACCAAGGTTTCCTGCCAGTTGGTGCTTGTTAGATTCGCACAGGTTCGAATCCTTCGAAATTTCAAATACATTTTGGTGTGAACTATATATATATATATATATATATATATATATATATATATATATCTTTACATAATTTTTATTTCAATTAACATATTTTTCGCATTTTTACTGAAAATATTACAACATAATCCCTATATTAGGTACTGATCTAATTTCAATGAACGTGTAAATGCATATTTCCTATTTGTATGCATTCGTTTAACTTATTCAATGTACAATGTAACATACACACCTAAATACATACATAAAACATTGAATTCACATACGAAGGTACATTTTATTATTATTAATATTATCATTATGATTTTCTCTCTTAATATTCCAAAACACGAGTTGATTATTTAATTTTCTGCAATCACTTAGTTTTGAAATTTCTTCACCCAATTTTTCTGTTTTCTGTAAATGTACCAAAACGGAACCCAACAATTTCGTTTATGTTTGCGTGTATATTAATTGATTGATTGACTGACTACTACGAACTGCTTGAATAACTGACTGATTGACTGACTGACTGACGGATTGGAGAGAACTACAAACAATATGATATTTCGGTTTTGTTTTTTTTCTTTTTCAATTAAGAAAATAAAACTAACAAAACATTCTTAAATCTCATTCATCACTAGCAATAATGTTGCATGTTGGGCGGGTTGGTTGTTTGTTTATGTATGTCTGCACGTATATACATGTGTGCCTGTGTGTTTGTGTGTGTGTGTGTGTGGAGTGTGAGGGAGAGACAGAGTGTTAGTGTGATTGTGTACAGGTTGGGTGCATACAAGTTCATGCTATCACATCAAAATGTATTCAGAACACAATTTGTCTATCAAAACTGTGTTATATTATTGTAATTTCTTGTTAATGTAATAATCACATAATATGAACGTTTATTTATTTCTTAAATATTCACAATTGTTAGTTTACCTCTTTTTTTAACACTTTGTCCCTAATTTCTTAATTCTTGTTTAGTTACTCCTATTCTGATTTCAGTTATCATAGGCATAATACCTAATTATTGATTAACATGCTTTCAACAATCTTTTGGTATTACGGGGTTGTGAAGATTGTTAAGTTACACATTTTTGAAACCATGACTCGATCAATGTTAGACCACCATTAGGGACATGGAAGCACTGGACGGCTGTTTCGTCCCGGTATGAGACTCCTCAGCAGTGCGCATCCACGACTCTTGCACCCCGCGGGATTCGAACCCGGGACCTTCTGTATTGTGCGCGAACGCCTAAC